TGAGTACATGTGTTTTGAAAAAAATACAACAATTAAATAAGATTAGAGATTTTTAGTAAAAGATAAAATAATTAGTTAAAAATGTAACAAGTGTCAAAATATAAGATCAGATAAAAATTATAATAAGTCATATATAAAGATGAATTTAGTAACAAAAAGTTGGAATATCTGACATATAGAAAATTCTTTGTTAGTTCAGTTTTAGTTGAATTGTTTTTTTTAAGATATTAGCTTTAGTATTAAATATGTTAACTGGATAAAGATAAATTAGAGATTACTGTATTTAGTAACATATAATTTTTAGTAGATCAATATAGTCTTTACAATTTGTGACCATCTATCTGATCTTATATTAGCACTTTTCTTTTCTTTTATTTTTTGATATTTATTTTTTTTTTATATTTTCTTCTATACATATTTTTTTAATACATTTCTCTTTTAACAAGAAGTTTTTTATCTCACTATAAATAAATAATATTAGATTAGTGTTGTTTAATTATAGAGTGATAAACAAATGAGCTTGATTTAAACTTTAGCAAATATAATGCAGCAGGTTACTTTTAAAGGCCTATTAGAATAACCATGTGATAATAGTACAAGAATTAGATAAAGTTATATTTGTATATTATTTGTATTAAATTGCAATAAATAAACTTCTGAGTGGTGACTATTGTAACTGCCAAAGGTAAAAAAAAAATAAAAAAATATTAATAATAGTAATATAAATAAACACAAATTTTATAAATATAAATAAGATAATTAATAACATGTTGTTGTTAAAAAAACTATATTACACTTTATGTATAACACTATGCAAGAATTTAATAACAGAATAAGAAAATTGATTAGCTTTTATATTCTGCTATTCAATTTCCAACTGAACTTTAATTCTTGTATAAGCATTACTTACATAATGAAATATACAGTTTGCTTACTCATCCACTCTTAATTACCCACCTGCCCTTGATTACCCACCCACCTATCCTTGAAAAATTGTAATTTGCCTACCTATTTACCTTTGAAAAATTGCAATTTGTCTGCTAACTCACCTACCTTTAATAATTCTCTCAACATTAACAAGAATATAATCACATGATATTCAAAATTTTATTTTTTACAAAAATGATTTGTATTATACAAAAGTTTAGATCATGTGATTAATATAATATGTTTTATACTGATAAAAAAGTAAAAAAAATAATTAATTAAAAAACTATAAAATAAAAGATAAAAAAAATTAAATAAATAAATAAATTAAAAAAATTAAAAAATTAAAAAAATTAAAAAAAAAATTAAAAATAAATAAAAATTAAAAAAATCAAATAAAAATAAATCAAATAAAAAAATTAAAAAAATAAAATAAAAAATTTAATCTTGAGTTGTTAAACCCAATTTGGATTCATTTGAGCCTAATTCAGATTTAAGTAAAAACTAATTCAGGCTTATTTGAGCTTAATTCAAATTCAAGTAAATCCAATTTAGGTTTATTTGAGCCCAATTTGGGTTTAAATGAACCCAATTCAGATCATTTAGCCTAATCTGGATTAAAGTAAACCCAATTCAGGTTTATTTAAGCCTAATCTGGGTTCAAATAAACCCAATTCAGGTTTATTTAAGTTTAATCTAAGTCCAAGTAAACCCAGTTCTGGTTTGTTTGAGCCTAATCTGGGTTTATTTAACCTAATCTAGGTTTAAGTAAACCCAATTCAGTTTATTTGAGCCAAATCCAAATTCAAGTAAACCTAATTTAAATTTAAGTAAACCTAATTTGGAATCATTTGAGCCCAATTTGGGTTCAAATAAACCTAATTTAGGTTTGTTTAAACCTAATTTGGGTTTAAGTAAATCCAATTAAGATTTATTTGAGTCTAGTCTGGGTTTAAATAAACCTAATTTTAATCTATTTAAACTAATATGAATTAAAATATTAAGTATAAATTGGGTTAAATTAAATATATTTGTATTTAAAATTTTTTTAAGATTTAAATTAATTAAAATCTATTCTTGAAGCAACACCTAGTCCTGAGATCTAGATTAATTAAAGTCTATTTCTGGAGCAATGTCTAGATCTAAAATCTAGTTTATTTTGTATAGTGTTAGAGAGAAATAGGATTTGCAGAATACAAGGTCAAGGAAAATATAATAGATTATTACTCAAAAATACCAAATATTATGAAATGTTGCATTACAAAAGAGGCAGAATGATTTGGCAAGGCTAAGATGTAAGTGCAAGATCTTAGTTTATTACTAAAACAGTTTTTATTAATATTTTAGCTAGTATTAATGATTATGATTCTACTTGGTTCTCTCTTTATTACAATTCAAAGAAAAAATATACTTATATACAAAAATGATGCTCTATAAAAAGAGATGACACAGGAGTCCAAGATCAAATATTTTTCTACTAAACTTAATAGTTTTAGATTCATTATTGTAATCAGAACCTTAAATAGCTTCATGTGGCACAAACAACTAGCCCAATCTGTCAGATCTACTTTAACAAATAACTATAGTTTTTAATAATGTATTATTATAACATTGTTTTAGTTGGCTGACTTGACTTTCAAGTTTTTTAAAATATAATTAATGCATAATAGTTAGCTTATTTCAAGGACATTCTTGCTATAAAGGGGCATGGGTCAGAATAACATTGGGTTAAAGCAATTCTGATATCTATTTTGTCCTTAAAATAGTAAAAAAAAATATAATAATATAAATTTTTTAATTAATAATAAAAATAATTTAATTGTAAAAATTTATTAAAAATATAAAAGAATAAAGAAATAACTTGATACTAGGACTTATATTAAATAACATAAATTTCTTAACAATATATTGTATTGGCAAAATATTTATTAAGCCTATTGCTTAAAATATTTTTTGTATAAGACCTATAAACTTATTACTAATTAACCACTTTGAATTTTTGCAAATACAAAAAAATGTTATATAACAATTGTATTTAACAAGTATGAATAAACATTTCTCTTTGCAAAGCTGTTAAACTTTCTGCTAATTAGTTACTTTGATATTTATAAATCCAAGAAGATGTTGCATGGTAATTACAAAAAAATAGATAGAGATGCAAATATTACTAATCAAATTATTACTAAAAAATGAGTATATAATAAGTTTATTACTTAGAATGCTTTTATATAAAACTTGTAAACCCACTGTTAATTAATCATTTTAAATTTTTACAAATATAAAAAAATGTTATATGCTAATTATAATTAACAAATATGAATGAATAAATATTATTTTCTGCAAAGTTATTAAATCCTTTGCTATTAATTATTTTGAATCTTTACAGATCTAAGATGTTGTATAATAATTATAAAAAAACAGATAGAAATGCAAATGTTGCTAAACATATTATTACTAGAAAATAAGTATATAAATATCAGATATATAACACAGATTTTTATTTGTTAATTATATGACATATCACATATACGTATTAACTAGAATTGATCTCAAAATAAATTAGGTTGTAATTTATGATACAAATTTATTTCTGCTTCATTCCAATCAAATTTTATTCTTGCATGTTTATTCTTATGCTAAATTTAGAATATCTTTTTGTATTGTTTTGATTATTAATTTGATGTAATTAAATCATTCATATGATCAACATCAATAAATTTCATTAAAACAAAAAAGATTAACATCAATTAGATGTTTATGTATTGTCACATATTATTTAACCAATCAAATAGTAAAGTTTAAAAAGAATAAAAAATATGAAAAGTAATACAAAATCAAAGCAAAATCAAAGCAAAATAGAAACCACTAAATTTAAATCCAGAATGTATGCATATTAACAGTTAGCAATGACGATCTAATTTCTAATCTTATCAGTGTATTATCTATAGGAACTTTTGTATAATCTAAAACCCAAATAACTTAACTACGACTATCATTTTAATATATATGTTTTAAAGTTTTATATACGTCTCAACTTAGACATTCTTTATATTTGTTCACATTTTTACCCTGAATTAAAAATTCTACGAAAATATATAGTTAGTTTATATCATTAAATATTTGTTTTTTTTAGTTTTTAAATATTTTTCTTATAAGCACATAACAAAAAAACCGAATAACTAATGCTCAAGTCACATTACTTTTGCTGGATGTTGCTTTTACCTTTTTTTGGTTTTTATTGTTCAACGTCTAAAAATTGTAGTTCGGTGTTTATAAGTTACCTACGTATACAACTTTGCAAGATAAATTGTCATATAAAAGCTGTGGGATTCAAAGGGATTCAACTGATATTATTAAAATACGGCGCGAAAACTTCAAGTTTACTTAGAGCGATATTCCACATTTCAAAGTAGGATAAGTAAGTGAGCTTTCTAAAAAAAAGTACTCGGTTCTCGCTGTTATTACTGTTATTACGAAGTACAGTACAGTATAACCTCGATATAACGATAACGAGGATTATTTCTAATTTTTATGTTAAATTAGCCCTAATATAATAAACTACTAATAAGTTTTGATATAACGAAGCAAAATCTCCAGCTCCAGAGCTTCGTTATATCGAGGTTATACTGTATGTATATCAGAATTGATGTTGGAAATGATTGTTGGGCACATAATTGCCTAATTTTTCTGCCACCGCTATGCTACTAAACAAATCACAACTTTTCTTTGTATAAAATCATATAGTTTAAAATAAATGGCAACCGAAGAATTAGTTTTAATTTCCTATCTCCTTAACAGTGAACTTGAAAGTAATATAACTCTTAAACAATTTACGAATTTGTTTCCTAATTCATATAGGTGAATATTACATCTTTTTTTTTTTTTTGTCAGGAAGCGTCATAAGAAAAATATTAATAATAGTAATAACCTTATTAGAAACAATAAACATATTAAAGCATTGTATAAAGAGTATCAAACTGAGGGAAGTGCAACGAGTGAATTAGTTCATCAAAATACGATAGAAGAATGTAAAAACTTGACATTTGAAAGTTCGTACTTGTCAAGATAAGAATATGATGGATATTGATATGAATCAAGATGAAACATTAGATGAAACATTAGATGAGGTATGACAACAAATGAAATGAATCCATAATTGAAATTTTTTTTTTTTTAACTTAGGATATTTTTATTAATTAGTTGAATGATTGGTCAAGCAATTGAAATATTATCAATTGCAGAAAAACAGATGACAGATGAGATTAATGTTATGGAGATGGAATGTAATGAATTTATTCAGGACATTCAAAGGTATTTTATTATCTCAATGAATGTTTATGTGGGATATTTGGTTCGATAATAAATTTTCTAAAATCAAAGGATAAATGAAGACATGAGCGATTTGAAATATATAAATTGTTGTAATAACTACCCTGGTTGTTATTAAAGGGTAATATCCTTGATATGCTTAAAAACTATTAAAATACTTTGCAGATATATGTAAATTTATACATAATAAAAAATCGGGATACTTTGTAGAAAAATTACTATATATAATTAAAAATTTTTTATCACTAGAAAATATTTTTACAAATTACAATGTTGGTTAGGCTAAAAAGTATTACAAGACGATATCAATTTCTAAAATAAAGTACATGGTTATTAAATAGTTTTTTTTTTAAAAAAAAAAATTAGAATGCTGAAATAAAAAGAGAGAAAAAAAACCTTCAAACCATCGATAATATCGACTTCATTCAGTCATTTTGATCCAATTTTACAAAGTTACTTTAAAGTTTTTTACAGTTTAAAAAAAACTATTTCAACGGCTTAGAAAATCTTAACTTTAAATTAGTAAAGTTAAAGTTTAAACCATCAATGTGAAACCCTTGAGCATTATTATCTTGTAAATGGAAATCTTGATCAATTTCGAGCAATTGAATTGGCTTGATCTTCACTTTGATTATTTTCATATTTTATTATTGATTTTATTATTTTCATGGTTAACTTCATTTTCACTGTTACTATTCCTATCATCATCAGGTTCATTACTTTTCTCAGGTCATCACTTTCATTATACCTGTAAATAATTTTATAAATTAATATAATATACATAGTAAAATATCTTTACGCATGCATTAGATTTTAATTTTAGCCAGGGCGCTACTTTAGATATATAAGGTGGGTACTTTAGATAAATCGCTACTTCAGATGCGACATATATACAAACCTTTTGTATATCAGGTAGTACTATAAGTTTGCAATGTTAATTTGTTACTATTCATTTTGTGACCTATACATATTGTATGCCTCTACCATGTGATGTTTGATGATGCTAATTTCAGCTTGAATATTTATATCAATGTTATTCAATTTGTGAGCTGTGTATGTTTGTGAAAATGGTTTACAATCTTTCTATCAGCACAACTAATACCTGTAATAGAACAAATTTCCTTCATAAAACTGAATAACTTATCATGACCTACATGACGGTTTAAACTCAGAAGCTTTTATAAAAGAACGTTTCATTTTTATTGTTTTAATATTACAAGAGAAAGGGAAATTGAATTTATATATTTGAATTATCAATTTAATATCATTTTATATAAGTTTAATATGTATGAGCTAATGACGTATTTTTTTTATGAGAGGTCAGGGTATTATAAGTTGTAATGGGAACTTTAAAATATAGTGCGAATGTGTTGTAATCGTTGTATTTCTAAATATGAGACGCCTTTATTTTTTGTCGAAATATGAATGAAAAAATGAATGTACGAATGTATACATTTAACTTTCATATAAGGAACTGACAGTTCTTATAGTAAAATTGTTTAAAAAGTTCATTATACTGTTATAGAGCAAGAATGATTGCATTGGAGAATCAAAAAATAAGACCAGGATGTCGATTAGTAGTGGTGCTAGATTTATTGGATCCGATTATAAGTTTTTAAGCCCTGAAATCTAGTTTCTCTAACGCCATGTTGTATAAAAATTTTCATAGTAAAATCACCTGAAAATTCATATAATGCCGAATTGACTTGGGTGGTTATTCTTGAGAGTTTAAGTATAAATAAGAACTGGGGAATACTCAGGTGTGACCTCACCAGTCAGCCATACTTACGTGTTTGCTAATTTAACGTATTATACACCACTACTACTATTCGTAATAAACAATATGTAGATTTTAGGCGTACGTAAGTTTTTGATTTTGAAAACTATATATGGTTTTGCTTTGCATGTACCCCAATAAATAATAGGCGTATGCACATACTTACATACGTATGTACATAAAATTTCGCATTCATCCTACGCTATCCAAAAAGTATACTATAAAAAAAAGGAAGTTTAAAATGGTCAATATCATAACGGCTTTATGTATGCTTAATATTATATGTGCAAGCATGCAAGGTTATCCCAAACAACTTTAGACAATTTTGACAGGCAGACATAACAATTATGGCGATTTGCTTTGATGATCACGATCAAAAAAAAAAAGCTTTGGACGTTAAAGACGTACGTACAATGTTATCCAGGAGATTATGACTGATAAAATGTTATTGATTATTTGTATTACTGTAACCGATGAAAAGACAAAGAAATCAAAGAATGCCAAGTTTTTATATTTGAATATACTAGCATATGGTGCATTCAGTTCACTACATTTTTTCATGGATTGTCAGTATTGGTAACACGAAAAATGTTTACCAGGTTATGGTAATGGAATTCTTTTTAGGATTTGCATTTCTGAAGGGTATTCCGAAAAAGGTCATTCTAAAACTGTGCTTGGAATATTTATTATACGTTTCACAACATGACTTATAAGAACCAATCGATTAATTGTTCGATTTTTAAGTTACGATAATCATGATACAAATCAATACATTAACGATAATTTTAACTAATCCACATATTGTAACATAGTGTGTTACTACAGCTACGTACATACGTACGTAGTAAGGTTTAATAGAAATTTTCTATTTTAGTAAAATTTAAAATCTCCATAATTATCATATCGATACGTTTGCGTACGTAGATTGATGAACGATAAATAAGATTATATTGATATATAGTAGCGTACTGATAGGTACATACGTACACGTTAATGCATTATTTAACATGAACAAAATATTTTTCAAATAAACTAAACAATTATGGCAATTTGTGCTATATTATGTTTAAACTATCTGTCCTTTATGGTAAGTATGTAGTTCATTCCGATAGGATCTTCAAATGAACTAGAATAAAAGTGGAATCCATTTTCTATTCCGAACTTCATAATTCAAGATCATCTTTAGGTTTGATAATAACTCGTTCAAAAAGGATGCTCTTTATGAACTTCCATTAAGAGAAATTGCCGAATCGCTTTGAAATGATCAAAGTTTATTCGGAAGGATCTTTTTAATTTACTTTTCCCCAATCGTGATGATAAAAAAAACTCATCGTGCATAACATGTTTCATGCATCAAACCTTCCTTTTTAAACAAACATATTAAAAGTTTTTTTTACTCACGTACGTATATACAAGTAACTCTCGATATAAGAAACCTTCGATATAAGAAACCTTCAATATAAGATATCTTTGATATAAAGATATTTTTGATATAAGAAACTCTTGATTTAAGAAGATTTTACAAATCGCAATTGAATTTTATAATAAAAGCATCCGATATAAAAAAAATATCGATATAATAAATATTTTAACTGGACCCGATAACTTTCTTATATCAAGAGTCACTTGTATATATATTTTTTGCCGAATATTAACGCTTAAATGAACGAGTCCCAATCCCAATCCGCGTTTGATCCCGTAAATCTTATCAACGGTGAAGAATATTGCATGTAAAGTCTTTTTATAAATGTTAAAATTCTTGGCTAAATCATCTCTAAATGTTTGAATAACGAATGTTTTAAACTTATATTAGATGGTACATTTTTATACATAATTGCAAAGATTCAACGTTCTTTGTTGCCGTATACTATAGCAATTTTATAACTTCTATAATAACGACATTTTTATCTGGGGTAGGTCGCTTTGAACCTTTTAAATTTCGTCATCATATTTATTTAATTAAAAGATTGTTTTATTTAAAAGATATTATTATCACATCGATTAAACAAACGAAAAGCACGACTACTTGTTCAAGGTCTTTTATCTCCATTAGAGGGATTTCTTTTATTCACATTCATTGGTGGGATTTGTATGTTGAAAATTTAAAAATTTATTAAATCAATTGTTATGTAACCTTTTATTCTAACCTTTTATTCTAACCTTTTATCTAATCTTTTATTTAACCTTTTATCTAATCTTTTATTTAACCTTTTATTTAATCTTTTATTCTAACTTTTTATCTAATTTAATCAGCTCGAATGTTATGTAGCATAATTTTTATAACAGATTTAGAACCAAGAAATTATATTCTTCGTCAATCAATTGAAGATTGGCAATGGATAAATGTTCAATTATCCATTGCAACTTATTTGGCTGGCGTGTAAGATCATTTATATTTATATATATATATCAAATATTTTTATACATTTTAGTCTTGATAAATAATTGTTAAAAAAATTTTTTTTTATAGGTTTCGAACAATTCCTCGAATCACTGTTATTCAACCAACAACTGACTCTGATCAGCTTCAAAGCTCTTTATGGATTCCTTCTCTAGGATTTATAAAATATTGTTATTGGTCTTTTTTCGTACTTCTTATAGTCATATGTCAAGGTTCATCTATACTTTCCGGTTACTTTCGTATGCGATCTGATAAGCACTTGTCTGATATATTCGTTACTGTTCGTCTCCTAACTTATTCGTTTGGTTGTATTTCCATGTTTCTCGGATATGGAATATACGGTCGAACTTTGATAAAGTTGACGAAACGAAGTTTTGAATTGATTGAAGAAGCTCAAAGAAATAATGAAAGATTTAAGTGGCAGATGCGAAAGGTATCTATTTATAGAAAAATTTTCTTGCTCTTGATGGGAAAATTGCGAGCTGCATTATAAACATTTAAGTTGGTTAAAATTAGATTTAAGTTAAATTTGTTCTTTAAGTTAGGTTTTAGTCAAATTGCATATTTAAATCGCATATTTATTGCGATTTCAAAGCAAATCTGTGATTGGTTGAAAATAATTTTTATCCAATCATGTATTTGCATTTATTTTTTAGATTTCTGATCACGTAAAAATTAAGTTTAGATTTCTGATCACAGTAATTTGAAAAAACGCAATACGTAAATTAAGTTTAGATTTGCAAATCCTTAACTATTAAAGTAATAAATGGCATCACTTTCTTTTATTTATTATAGATGCAAATGTTCAACCAGACGGCATTTTTTAGCTTCCTATTTTGGTCTGTTGCAACATTTGTCATAGCTATTTGGCACGATTTAGTTTGGTCAACCTTGGCATTATCCAAACTTCAAATTATAATGGCATGTCCAGTAAATGTTGGTTCTTATATTATTGCAATGATAGTGATTACACTAAGGTATGTTTTAAAAAATAAAAAACGAATTTTGTTGTAGAATAGAAAATTGCATCACATATACATAAATTAAATGTCTTTTTTTTTTAAAAAAAAAATTTAATATAGTGATATGAGAAGTCAAAATGAAACTCCCGAAGAGATTTCCATGACAACACTCAGTAACCAATTTATGCAATCACAGTCTACACCTTAAAATTGTCTGTACATATATTTAATTCTATACCTTTTCTTCATGATTGATTATTATATTTACTTATTATAGTGGTATTTTATCATATATATTATCACATACTGTATATATATATATTTGTAAATACATATATACACCATTGTTTAACTAAAGATAATATTATTTTATAAAAATTTTATAGTTTTATCATACAATAACTACTAATTTAATTATACATCTTTTTTAACTATATAATATTTGTATTATTTTTAGACAATTTTTTGAAAGATATAATTTCTAATTTTTATTAATACTAAATCATGTGATGGTTTGATTCGGTTGGGATCGGAAAATATATTATCAATTAGATTCGGCAAAGATATTCAAAGTTAACATTAGTAATAAATATATATATTAATTATATATTTTTTTTAGAGGTAAAAACAATAAATTTTTTTTAAAATGCTAAAAGTGACTATATAGTGACAATCGATTGCATGATAATCAAATTGATTTCAACAAGCTGATGATTAAAGTTACAATCGATTAGCAACAAGTCTATTGATTATTTAGGTTTGCAAAATTATATTTGAAGATCATTAAATACGCAAAATTTGTCTAGTCCAAAAGTCAAATCAGCAATCAGGAAATTTAGTAATCACTTTATTCACATAATTTTGCAAACCTCTATAAAATCGGTTTGATTATAATCGATTAATACAGCAACTGGTAACCGATGTCCACTAATAAAAATTTCCTGGTGTGATCAGAAATAATATGATTCAAGTGTTATAATTGACGATTGTATGCGCTTCAAAAAAATCTTATCAGATAAAATATATAAATAAATTTGAATAGGGTAAACATAACAATGCCGCTCAACTTTCAGACAGTCATTTCCTCAATAAGTCATCTAACTACATCACACAGAGTTACAGTTAGGAAAATGACCATCAAGAAATTGATACGTACAACACCCTCAGAAAATATATCACGGGTACACGAAAAAACTTAACATAAATTTCTAATTATGTAAATTTATTGCTTAACAGTTAGCAAATTAGTATGTACAGGTAATAAGTTTAGATATACGTACAAATTCAGCTACGTACGCGTACTTTTTGCATAATTATGTTAAGCTTTTTTGTGCAAATGTGATATACTTTCTTAGGGTACAGTACATAACCAGCCTTCCTTATAAAGTTATCAAAAATGAATTTTATTAGGCAAAAATTGCGGAACAAATAATTTTTTATAAAAAAAATTTTCCTGGAATAACTTATAACAAAATTTCTTTATTTGTAACACTTTTGCATTTACTCATTTAACCATATTTTAATTATTTAGGCTACCGTCAATAGAAATAAGGCAGATTGACATTTTTTTAAAAAAATTAAGTCCTTAATTTTCACAACCCTACTTCGATAAATTTGAAGCCATCTTGATTATTTATTATTTAATATTAAAAAAAAAAACATTTAAGATCTAAGCTTTCTTTTAAATATTAAATCATCGAGATTTCTTTGAAATTCATTGAGATGTAGGCTGAGAAAGATAAGGTTCCAACTTTTTTTAAAATGCCAATCTGCTTTAATTTAACTGATATTAATCCTTCAAAAAAAAAAAAAAAAGTTTTTTAAAAAAAAACATAATCTAGATCAGGTCAAATAATTTAAATGATATATAAAGTTTATCAAAATCTAAATGAATGTCATGAAAACATGCTATTATAAACAAAATTGACCTAATTCTAAAGAAGGGAATTTAAAAATAGGTTTCTCAACGCTTTGAATAAAAAGTCCCACATCACCATCTAATGTACTCTTCACTTTTAATTGATTATCTTTTTTACATCCAGTACCGTTACCAATAGAGATAGTAATACCTAAAGTACTTTCAACCTGAATTCCCGTTTTAAATTGTACTAGACCATTCAATATGCTTAAATCTAGTGCTATTTGAGGTTTCAAACTTCCTGAAATTCCTGTTGAAGCTTTGATATTAATTGAGGAATTGTGAGATTTAAATTGTGGTTTATCAAATCCTGTAACATTCGTTTGGTTGTTGATTAATGAAGCTTGAAAAATAAAATTATTAAATGTAATTTCACCACCTGTGTTCAATGTTCCGGTTAAACTAGAAGTTACTTTAATGTTTGCTGATAAAATCACAGCAGGACCTAAGTTGAAAAGTCCAGGTACATTTAAAGGAGTCAATGGGATTTCGATGATTTGAATATCAGGTGATGAAAATTGTAGAATCTTTGAGGATGCCGATATGGCAATATCAACATTAATTTTCAGATTTCCTGATATTGAAATTGTGGCATTGGATAAATTAAAAGGAGTTCCAGAAATATGAAGACCAATCGTAGCATTCCCTTTTGTGAAACAATTCGAACATACTAAAGATTCACTTGAGTTGTTTTGATCAATCGATAATGTAAAATTTGGTTTAGATGATTTACCAGTTTTTGGATCAAATAAAATGTTAAGATCAATTTTAGTTTGTTCATCTAAAAGTCGTTTGTCTAAAAGGTATAAATTTTTTGATCGTTTTTTATTTTTTGATTGTTTTTTATTTAATTCTATAGATTGATCCCATGTGAGATCAAATGTATAACTTTCTATCCATTTTGAAATTTCACAAGATTCAGTTGTAAATTTAGCTTGTTTATTTATTTCATCAATTGTTTGATTTCCCACAAAATAAAATTGCATGGTTGATTGTCCAAAGCATTTCCATTTGTCATTAATTAAAAAAATGACCTTTGATGGCCAATTTAATATTTCATGAAGAACCGTTTCGTTATTTAATGTTAAAGTGATTGTTCCATCCTGATCGCATTGAATATTTTGAACATATCCGAAATTATCAGGATTTATTGATAAAATATTGGTATTGAGCTCTATATTTGCTACGTGTCCCGGTCCATTAATAGATTGTGCATATGATCCACGAAGTTTAGTAGTTGGTTGAAATGGTCGATAGGATGGATTTTGGGGAGTTTTCACAACGAATGATGCATCCGTTACTGATATGATGATATAAATTGTTAAAAGAAGGTAACAGATTAAAAGCTTAAACATGAACATTGAAGCCTCACTGTTGAAATTGACAACTTGGGAATCAAAAAGAAAAAAAGATAATACTAACGTCCAGACGTTAGAATAAATTGAAACTAATGAATTAACAAAAATAAAAAAACAACTATGTTTATATGTGCATTTCGTTATAACAGTCATGCTATACTGTTACCTGCCATTAAGTCCATTTTTGAAACTAATGTTAAAATTGTACATTGTTTACTTGTAATTAAGTCCATTTTTGGAATTGTAAATCATCAAAGATGAAACAACTAATTTTTTGTCGACAAGGACTCCATCATTCATTTCTAACAAAAGTTAGATTAATAATATGATTTGAGTCAATGTATTAACTGATTTATTAATTTTTTATGACTGGCATCACTTTATCTCGCTAGATTCTTAAAACACCGGTATCTATACTAACCTATACTAATATATCTATACTAATTTCATACTAATTCCATACTAATCTTTTGACATTGTTTGTCTGTCCGCCTTGTTCGTCTCGCATTCTTTGTACTACGTCGTTTGTTACGTAATTCGTAATTCATTTTACATTTGTTAAAAGTTAATTGATATGTGTTTGGTGCTAAGGTAGAAAATTGCATAAGTATACGTATTCTGAAACTTTCATTTAAATTGAATAACTTATTAATTCATTTGCATTTTACAAAAAAGGTTAATATTTTTTCGCATAAACATAAAATGCGAAAGTGATTTAATAAAAATTAATAAAAATCTCAGAATAAATGCAATTCGTTTTCCAGAACAACTTTACATAGGGCACATACATTAATAAATTTAATAATATTATGACTTATATATAGCTACAATCACGGATACCGAAAATTCAATTGCAATTAAATTATTACTACAGTCAGTTAAATTGTTCAATTGCAAAACAATTAATCGTGAATTAATTGCAATTTTTACATAATAATCATAAGTTTATTTCTTTAACTATAATTTTGACGTCAAAGATCAACAAGTTCTTATATTTACAAATTGCAGCAAAAATTGTAATTAATTGAAAATTTGTAACCGCGCCACCAATCAATTAATTGAGGTCAAATAATTGCAATTAATTGCCCTCACAATCAATTATTCGGTAGCCCTGTCTACAATTGTTGATTATCTTTTATAAAAAATTAATTAATTAACATACGCAGATTGAGGTAATTAGTTATGACACATTGTAACTTTTTCGTATAGTAGGTTAGTAATGTCATATAACCCGACCTTTCAGATCCTTCTGACCCATATAAATAAATTTGAACCATTTTTTAAACTTCTAGCAGTGATTTCTCAATAACTACTTGATCAAATTTGATGAAAGTTTTTTTATACATCTGTATAATTAAAATAAATAAATTTATTGAAACTGGGTAAGTAATTATCAAGAAATTTTGAATTAGTTCAGATTAACTTTTTGAAGTTCAGATGATGATCTACATGTTACATAACATGAATAAGAGAAGTTACTAAATTTGAGATTTATTTTATAGTGTTATGGCATTATAATACTAGAGTATTGTGACTAAATAAAATTTAAATTTAGGTGTAACATATAGATCATTTTTTTGTATAATAAAAATAATAAATTTTTAAAAAATTAATTATATTTTAAAATTTTGATTAGAACATTATTTTTATATATTAATAAAAAAATTTTTTATAAAATTTTAGTATAAATTATATTTTGTCTAACTCTAACCTTAATCTTAATTTAACTTTAATCAAAAGGTTTATTTTTTATAAAAAAAGTTGTTTTGATTTACATGTTATATTAATTATATATTTATATATATAGAGTAATACTATAATGCTATAGTACTATAATAATATTTCTATTAAATTTTATGTTTTTTTATAGTTTTTTTTTAAAGAGTTTATTATAGTTCTAGGTTTAATTAATTTTTTTATACTAAGTTTTTAAGATTATATATTAACATAAAAATTTTTTTATATTAAAAGTTCTTTATATTAAAAGTTATTTGTATACTGTATAAAATCAGAATTTTAAAACTATACATTAACATTTACTAATAAATAATTTTTTTTTTTTTTAAAAAAATATATATAATTATAATATAATTAAATATTATTTATAATAATAAAGAAAAAACTTTTTAGAAACTCTTTCTATAGATTATTTTTACAAATTCTTACTAAAAACATTTAGTTTTTTCTCAATAATTTACTAAGCAACCCTTACTTATACTCTTAATTAAACTTATTCAACTCATTTTTAATATTTTAGCCAATTAGATTTTAAGCTTAAATACTTTCTGACTACTGAGAAAACTTCTAAAAACCCAATTTTAAATCTAAATACTTCTTGGGAAAACTTCTAAAAACCTAATTTTTAGTTTTTGTTTTTTTTCTATAAATTTTATTAATTAAATATATTTTATTATTTATTAGAAAAATATTCAGTTCTTTAAAGTAATTATTTTGATATATATTTAATTAAAAACTGACTGAAACTTATCAAAATATATACAAAAAACAAAACCTAAAACCTGACTTTACAAGTTTTTTTATTACAATTTTAGAAAAATCAATTGGATTGCTCAAGAAAATTCATTTTTCTTGTATCTATTAAAATTTTTTAAACATTTAACTTGCTTTCACATTAGTCCTATATCTTCTAAAATTCTCTTAAATAACTTAAAAGCTCTTATAATTAAAAAATTTTTCTAAAAATGAATAAAAATAAAATAGTTTGTATTATTTTAAAATTATAATTATAATTTAGTTACTTTACTTTATTCAACATGTTTATTTTTAGTACTATAGCATCTGATATCTTAGACTTCAATTACTTCTTCAAAAATTATACTGACTCTTATAATATTGCAATCTATAAAAAAGAATCAGAAAATATTAGAATTATTTTTAACAAATACAAGTCTACTAAATATGTTACTATAGAATTTAAAACTTATTTAGCTACATATTTTTTTCTAGTTTTTCAAACAACTACAACTATTACATATATGTGCAAATTATTCTATATTCAATTTATTTTAATTAATGATCTGCTAGTCATCTAAACAAAGATCATAATATAACATAACACAAATCACTATATAATTTACTATAGAGTAAAATACAACATGCACTTATCTAAAACTTTTTTTAGATATCAAGTTAACAGTCTAAGTTAATTAATTAAAAGTTGTAGAGCTCACTAAGGCTCATCTAATAGCAGTTAGATTATTCAAATCAGTTTGTAGATGCTGAAATATTGTTAAAAAATAGTTGACTGATTATATAAAATTCCATATAGACAATTGTTTATATAAATCCTAATAAGCTTTTCAAATTTAGCTTATGGCCTATATGGCATACTCTACTTAATATTATTAAATCTTATAACTACCAAATTAATTTTTACAAAGTACAAGCTCATTTTGATAATACTTTTAATAATTTAGCAGACTCATTAGCAAAACAACATAATTTATTATCTACATTATATTTTAACTATACAAGCATTTACAATTCATATTATATAATTTTTTAGAATCAATATTTTATTGAACATCCAATTAGAAGTTTTATCAAAAATATCTGTAAAGCCTATATTTTAGCAATGTGATCCTCTCAGAAATGTAATATGAAATGTAACTCTTTGATTTTCCAAATTCAATAAAGATCAACTTGGCTATATTTTAACTATAACCAAAAACCAATACATAATATTACTAACTTTAAACTCAACTATTTTAAATCATTCAAAATTAAAAGCTTATTAAATAAACTTTCTATTTACTTTCATTTTTATAAAACTTATCTATATATATTTTATAATGCTAACTGCTTTAACTGTAATCTTACAGATTCTTTAACCTATTGGCATACATGTACAAATTCATCACTTATTTCTAATATTATTTAAACTAATATATCTGAATACATTAATCATACAGACCTTGATTTATCTATAAACTAACAAGAAGAATTTATCTACAAAATCAATAACTACTATGCTTTTTACTCTATATTTTCTCAAACAAATCAATACTATCTTAATATTACACTTAAAAAACTTATTCTTAAATCTTTAATTAATATTATACAAAACTTTTAATATTTTATACAAACTAGTCTTATAAATAATTATTGTTATTTTATTTAAAGTTAATGAACTTTCTTATAAATAAATATGAAAACCATATTGTATAAACTTTGCTAACTAGAAACAATAACAAAAACTTAAATCATCTTATGTCAAATCTTTACTTCAATCAAGCTAAAATAATAGAAGAAACTCTAATCACAAAAATTATACTTATTCTTGTCTATATAGACTACTTGACCAACTATACTTCAATTCTAATATCTGTCTACCTATTGGCTATGCTATTTGTAAAATTAATATTTAAATCATTTTTTGAATCAAATACAATATTTCTTATAACCATATTCTTAACTTACAAATCTAAATGAGTTTTGACTACTCTAGTAGATTTAGGTCATAGATAAATATATATAAGCTTTTATTCTTAAATATAGTTTTTCTTTTATTTATATTTAGAGTAATAGCTATATAGTTAGCAGTTTAATGGTTTAGCCCTAATTGCAAGTATTGGTTTTAGTTATAGCATTTATATAAAAAATTATTTTTTGTACATAGCAGTTTCATGTAGTTACTAACTTTTAAACTACTAATAAAGATATAAGCAAAGCCTTATCTTAATACAAAAAAAAAATACTAATTACCATATTTAATACTTTGCTTAGATGTTTTATTTTAAATCTTCTAAACTTGTAATCTATATTAATATTATTTGATTATATTTAGGTTATTATCTCAAACTTAGGACTATTTTATTCTCAATATAAACCTTCCAAAGCTTTTTGTATTTATTTTTATAGTTTATTTAGTATTATTATAGCAAAGCCAATATTAATAATCAGAACTAATCATTAAACTATTATGTCTTTATAAAATTTATTTGAACTTAGTATTACTTTATAGCATATTTGAATTATTTTAGTAAATTTTGTATTAAAGGCTTGCATTGAGTTTTACAACTTAGTTTAGCCTAACCTGCAAATTTTTGTAGTTTAGATTAGGTTTAAAATAAAATTTTATAATTATAGACTAGGCTAAGCTATGCTAAAGAAATAATTTTAATATATATAAGTTAAACTAAGTTATCAAAAAAAAATTAACTCTAAATGCAAACCAGATTAGATTATAATAATAAACAATTTGTAGATATTG